CTAACGGACCCACTGTAAAATTAAAAATCAAACGGATCCATTCAGTCTTAAATATCTCCATAGTAAAAAAGTCAACCTGGCGCACAAAATAAATTCTAACAATGGGCAGAAATTGCATGACGGACCAAGATTAAATTCATTCCATTGCTTTTGGACATGATAAAACCAGTTTTTACACCGAGCTGCCTTTTTTTAAACGACCGAAGTGCAATGCGTTTATTAAGTCTAAACGTCCTTGTTTGGGAAAGGCGCACCCAAAAAGTGGCCACTGATTTCCATTGCCGGACCACAGGGAGGACCCAACACATATCTCCTGAAACTGCTGCATTGTGGGTATATTTCCTTACCCAAGGAACAGTCTCATAGCTCAATTGTGGAAAGCATTCATGCAAGAATATGACATAGGCTAATAGGCGCATGAATGAAAAAGAACTCTTTCAGTTGCAAACTGTTCTTATTTAGGAAACTTGTCGAACAGAATCTCATCAATTATTCAAAGTCAAATTCAAAGTCAATAAACATAACCTAGGTAATGTACATGTAAGAAACATTAATATAATTAATCTATCCTATATACCAGAGGGCAATATAAGGTAATAGTTTTGCTGTCTCTTTGACTTGTACCCTCTCATGTCTGCAGATTGTATTAAACTCATTACATTCATTGATAAGAGTAAATCAAATAGATTATACAGTGATGTGCCTCATCCAGTCTTTAGCAGAGTTCGTTAATTTATATCAAGATTATGTACACTGATAATCCAGTTTAGATTTTCCAATATATTGGCAGAGATACCTAAATAGAGTCATTTGACGCAGAATTTGTGACGGAGATTTACCAGGCAGGAAATATGAGATACATTTATATCTTGTTGCTTATTGTCATTCATTTTATTTCATCACGTAAGTGTTTTACTTTTGATATTTTTTTCTCCGGTGCCCAATTAAATCAAATGAAAACAGTTAACAATATGGCATTATGATTCGTCTGTATTTCCTTCGTGTTGATATCATTATTAAATATTCTCCTGCATTTGCTTCCATTATAAATAATAAATGCATTAAAATCGAATTTTTATGGTATTATTGTCCAAATATAAATGAGACTAGTATATTTAAGTTATGTTAGTTAAACATACATGAATGGCTTTTTCGACATTGCTTATACGAAATGTGTTTAAGTTATTTAAGAGATTTATGTATAAGTCGGATTCCGAATGACTCTTTAATATGTCATTCATGTTGTAAGAACAAGTGCAATATTGTTATAATATATATTATATATAGGAATTATAAGCGAAGAATGTCTTGAGTATGTGAATTATGCCTGTTGCAAATTTATTTATTTTTCTCTTAATATGCCATGTTTGATCATGAAATACGGGAATTTGTTTAAAGTTTTAATGTTGCTTGCATATTGCTATTTGTATTTCTCTTTTAGCGCATTCTTAGCAATGGATTTTTCAAGTAGAAACGTAAACTGTATAAGATATAAATCGGTCAGAAGTTTACAAAAATGAAGTTACGAGTTCAAGAAATGGTATTCTTCGTATAGTTCCACTGTTTCAAGTAAAATTTTACTAATATGAAAAATGTTAGAATAGTTTTAATACCAGTTCATAGACTTAGAGATATGTAGAAAATAAAGCAGCACCTTGGAAAGAGTCTCTATTACTTTAATGAAAGCTACCCTTCAGTCTTTATTGAAATTAATTCTTGGCTTAATTTAATTTTCTTTATTTTCTCTTTGAATATAGATAATATACGTTGATTGAAAGAACAATATAAGCTGTTTACCGTACAAAAGAAAAACACAATAAATGTATGCTGTATAACATCGAATGATAAACATTCATCTTTTTAATGTCTCTGTACACCAGATGATAATGATTGCGGCATTATATATGCGCGTTATGATAGAATGATCATTAGATTATTAGATTCACACACTTTGTTAATTCTATTTCGAATAGCGATAGAAAATATTTTTGCCATGACATTTTATTTACGCAATTTTCCTATAATTACTAGGATTAGCTTCATCGCCCTTTTTAAAAATAGGAATTATTACGCCTTTACTCCAAGCATCAGGGTATATACCTGAATAAATTTTTTTTATTGAAAATCGTTACTAAAATGGTGCAATAAAGTTACATTTTTGTCATAATCACAGCTTTTATGTCTATTCAGAATACTAATTACTCTAGAAACCTCATCAACAGTAAAAGGACAGTCCAGTTCATCTATATAGTGACATTTTTATTTCGAAGAGTGATATCATTATGAAACATAGAATAGTTTTGATTCAAGTTAGTCAAACTTTTAAAATCTTAAAATGTTATTATCAGAAAAATCTGGCTTATTTTTATTTTTTAAATATTTTAATACACTTTCAAAATTTACGCGGTTTACGTTTCCTTAAATTTATTATCGTTTTATCAAATTATCCTTTATCAAAAGAATTCAACGCTGAAGCTGTCCAAGTCATTCAGACATATCCTGATGTCGGGCCTTAAAGTGAGGCATATTGAAATCAGTGTCTACCTTTATATACAATGTTCCTATCAAATATATCAAGTAACAAATGAGCCGCGTCACGACAAAACCAACATAATGGGTTTGCGACCAGCATGGATCCAGACCACCACGCAGTCTGATCAGGATCCATGCTGTTCGCTTACCAACCCTATTACAAGTAGAGAAACTGATAGCGAACAGCATGGATCCTGATCAGACTGCGCGGATGCGCAGGCTGGTCTGGATCCATGCTGGTCGCAAACCCATTATGTTGGTTTTGTCGTGACGCGGCTCAAATATATCAAACATAAACTCCTGCATGACAATGTGCCTCAGTGATATCATTGTCTATTTCAAAAGTGATCAAAGGATGGAATATTTAGCTCGGAGGTTTATTTAATTGTAAATGATGATACGTTGATGTCATTATAGCCTTTCGTAAATCAATCAATATTTCTAATGGGTGTTTCTGTCATACTTTTGCACAATATGTCGTCATAAAATAGATAAACAAGGTTTAGAAGCAATTAAGCATATGTGATTATTTTTACTACTATAAAACACTACAATGATGAATTTTTTTATCAAACCTTTTACGTTTTTCAATTAGTTGTGGGATTTACCGTGTTCCTTTTCCTATTAAAAACCTTAAAAGATGAAATAATATATCATATTTCCATTAGTTCAAATCAAATCAAATTGTACATATGTATCAATTATAAAAACGTATAGAGAGTTGCATGTGTTTATATAATTATTTGCTCTTATCATCTCCCAGTGTTTTTGGACAGATGACGCAAATGAAACACTTACATTTTGTTGTATGAAAAATTATTCAATTTAGTTCAATTGAAATCTAATCATTTGTACATCAAATACATGCAATCAAAATGAATAAAACTGATAAAAGTACACATGCCACCCAATACAGAATTATATAAGACCTGTTAACAAAGCTTACATAAAACACAAATATTTACATTTTTACAACACACACCTTGCTTTAAATGTATTGGGAGGCATAATGAAAAGAAATAGGTTATATATGGTATGGATTATTTGTGAATGATCAATTTATCGGTGATGATTAATAGACGAACGACCCTTCCATAGGTCAAATCAGCCTGAACATTTGTAAATTTTCTCAAGATTTAATACTGTTGCCTGCATAAACGTATGCTAACACTGCTACGGGAAGTTCCAAATTCAAACAAGGGTCAGTCCATTGTCCCAATATTATTGGAGCTCGCCTAAAAATAAAAAATATATGGAAAGCTTACATAATTCATCTTGGGCACTTAAAACGGAAGAAAATATATAAAAGATAATAAAGAACTATGTTCAGAATTAAATTCTACAACAAAATTCGTGCGATTCTCATTCTGATTTGAGTATAAAGCGTTTAAACACTTTTCATAATGGGGTCATTTTGTACAACTAATATGATTCTTCTGGAAATTCAGATTGATCGAATGACCTTAAATTAGTTAGAAATCTACATAAGTTATTGATCCAGACCTACATCAAATTGTACAAAAAATAAAATCGAAAAAAGAAAATATATTTCAAGTCCTGTCTGGTCAAAAACTCTCATTTGAGTCCCTTTCACTAATTTTAGCATACCCATCTGAAAGACGTTTTATATGAAATAATTTTGAAGAATATGGACATCATATTATGTGTGTGTTACTTGGGGTAAATTTTGAGTTGGCTTTTTTGGTTATGTTGTCGGTATGGCATTTCCAAGATAGGTCTGGTGTTTTGGTATCTCCATGATACTTGGCCTTGTTGGTTACGTTGATTGTTGTCTGGTGTATTTGATATGGGAAGATGATGGGGTTCCTCTTGGTGGTTATCCAAATGATCTCACATTTCGCAGCATTGAACTCCATTTGCCATTTCTTCTCCCTGACTTGGTGGATGTCAAGGTCATCTTGTAGGGCACGGGCATCATCCTGGCTCTTGATCGTCCTATCGAAGAGACAGTCATCAGCAAACATGTCAGTCCTTGACTTCACTCTGGTCGTTGATGAAGACCAGGAAGAGCAGTGGACCAAAGACGCTGTCCTTGGGCACTCCGGACGTGACAGCGGATGCGTGGGAGTGTGAGTCTTCCAGTACCACGCGCTGTGTTCTGCCAAAGAGGGATCCTTGGATTTATTTGAGTGTGTTGCCTCTGACCCCATAATTGTCTAGCTTCATCAGCAGTCATGTGTGAGTCCTTGTCGAATACATTGCTAAAATCGAGCAGGATAGTGTCGATTTGCTCATTCTTGTCAAATCCTTTGTCAAGGTTGTTCCCTGTGGTGAGTAGCTGTGATTCACAAGAGCGACGACGTCGGAAGCCATGCTGGGAGTCAGACAGTATGTTGTTGTTGAGCCATGATGTTACTAAAAATGATATGTTGAGGATCTTACAAGAGATTGATGTGAGAGAGATAGGTCTGTAGTTGGATTGTGTAGATCTGTTTCCTTTCTTGGTCATGCTTTGGGCCAGTTCCTTGGAGTTTGGGGAGCCTGGTGTGTACTTTATCTGGGCCTGCAGCTTTGCGTGGCTTAAGTCCAAGAAGAAGCTTGAGGACACCCTTCTCTTTCACAGTAATGTAGCTCATATCTGGAATATGGCGTTTTGGTAGTTGTGGCGGTTTGAGTCATCTTCTTTAGTGAAGACAGAGGTGAATTGGTCATTTAGTATGTCAGCTTTCTGTTTACTTCCACTGAAGGTTATCCCATCTTTCTTCAAGGGTGCTACTCCAAAGTTTTCTTTCTTCCTGGATTCTTTGTATACACATAAGGGAAGTTATTCTGTAGAAGTTGAAATCTATAGAGACGAAAGAAATATCAAAGTATTTATTTAAAGAAATGCTACTTTTAGATCTATCAAGTGTATTATAGACATTTATACACGTCATAGATGGGCCAGAAGGTGATGATCGGCCCTGAAATGAAAAATGCTCTCGGGGCCAATATTCTTTTTGCGGTTCTACTCTGCTGTGTATTAATCTGTTCTAATGAAGCTCGACCCGGCAACAAATTTATTAGATACTAGTTAGGCTTTTCCAATATAAGCGTTTCCCTCGCATGTCATTATATTGTCATTCAAGTTCATTAATTCCAGTCACCTGCATTGAATATCTAAACCTTTCTGAAATGATATTTTTACTAACCTCTAGAGACTCATTATTGAGGCAAGTAACAATGATTGTTTTTGCTTTATTTATTTATTTATATATATATTTAATTATCACCAATTAAAGGTAAACATAAGTAGATCTAATACATTTATACTAACAGATATTATTAATCTATCTTCAGTCATTGTACGTCACATTGTAAGCCTATGATAACGTCACATGGTTAGCAGCAAAACAAACTGTCGCTGTTCTGTCGGGGGAGAAAGTTACATAATCTAATAACATTATGAAACTAAACAAAAACAGGATAAATCCAATACATGATTGTTGTCGAGATGGAGAAGGGTGATCCGTTTCGCTGCTCGCTAAAGCTCGCCAAGATACACTTTCTCACTCACCGGATAAACCTTCTCCATTCCGACATCAACCATGTATTCTCTATATAATTAAAACAGACAAGTCGATCTAATCAAAAGAAACCTGTATGCGAATATACATGTAAAATGAAAACTTAAAATAGAAAAATGGAAAAAAAGCAACAAAAAATTAAACGGAATTCACAATTTCGATGAACGTCCAAGCGGCAAATTTGAAAATGTTGAAGGCTTGAGATTTGATTGAACCTGTTTATAAACGATAGTGGTTAGATACCTTTCCCCCATTGCACCGAGTACTGCACCGGCTTTGCCAAATTTCAAAAGTAAACGTTGCAAAAAGAAATTGAACAAAATATATTTGACGTAAACTTATTTGGTATGAACGTCTCAAAAGTTACTCAAAGCATGTAATTTAACATAAAAAAAAATTGTTGCCAAACAAACACCAGATTTAATTTTTTTCTGGTTAAATATTTTAACTACATTGTAAACTTTTTATTAAGAACTACATGTAGTAAACATACATGTGGGTATTTTTGAGAGTTAAGCAAAAGGTTTATAATTAGGAAATTTTAAGCGCATTATTGTAGACAAATGAACGGTCCGAGTTCAAATGTATAATCACGAAGGCCTATCAGTATATAAGGCCTTCGTGATTAACTACGAAGCATTTAAACGAAAAACCGTGCATTATTAGAATCTATCACACAATGCAAGAAGAAAAAACAACATTTTTTCTAATGATTGATAAAAATGTGGCGAACTACATTGAGCGTAGAAGTAATTTACCTAAAGTCATTTGGTTTATTGACGTCATATTTGACGTCATATTATGTATATGCATTCTTTTTTATGCTGTGCATATCGTGTAATAATCTACTTGATTGCTATGATCTATTTGATATGGGAAGAGAGTGAAGCGTGTTTAAATTAAGAAAAAGTATATCCCAAACAGTGATATCATGGATATTGTCGCTAAATAAAATCACTGTTTACTATGTGTTTAGAGTTCGTATGCTAGGAATTATGTCACGAGGGCGTAGAATATATAAGTACATATCCATATTCATGCATATTTAAACCACAATTTACTTTATGATTGATTGAATGCTAACTATACACTTATATTTTTCAGCATGTAAACAGAATTATCAGTTTATATTCCTATATGAATTTTGTATCATATACTGCCTTTTTTTTTCTTTTCATTATTTCTTTTACATTTGCCATGATGCGTTTCGCTTAGCCTTTTTGTAACCTTATTGATAAGGATAATCATGTTCTTTCTTATAGATTCAATATTCATATTGAAAAATAGTTTTGTAATATTGTATTAATTTTGTTTCATTTTGAGATTGGTAGGTGCAATTTTTTATGCTCTTCTCATTATCAGTAATATTTTACTCAAGACAAAAAGATATTTCTATTTACTTAGGATATATGCTTTTTATCCGCATGGCTATTGTAAAAATTATATTTCATAATTTCACTGTGAAATAATCTAAATACAATATCAATGTCTACTGAAAAGCACGTAATTAACATCATAAAAAAGGTTTTATATCAATGTTTTAAATATTAATATGCAGTTAAAATCTTGAATGTTTCACTAAAATTTCATATACCTTTAGATGAGTTCTTTATTAGTGAAACAGATGAACTCATTTTGTAATACAATATTAATGATAGAAGCATCAAATGCAAATCAAAGCACGTATTACTGATAATCAATCCGATTTCCCCCATGTAGCACGCGATATGATTTCATATTTTACTCTTATTCCTGGAAATATTAACATTATTATAAATAGATGATGTGATAAAGATCAAACATCAATGGTGACATGATTTTATTAATTGCATTCAATTTAGTTTTTTTTTTTCAACCTGTCTGAGTATATAAAACGAACATGAAAAAGGCACATTACATTAAACAATTTTACATGTTGAATACTTAAATATTGATAAAAGATTGTTTCAACAATGATCAAAGGCATGTCTTGCTTAGCATATGTACCAAACTATATATCTGTTTCATTCTAATAAAAGTCATTAACTATAATGGCTGATTTACGCCATGCCGTATTTTTGCTTTTTCGCCACAAAAGATTCGAAATTGTCGAAAACACGAAGACACGAAAATAAGTCCAACTTATTATGCAATAATCATTATGTTATAAAATATGATATAGCGTAAAACAGCAACCGTAACTAACGCAATATAATTTACATTAAGTAGGTTCTATGAGTTGTTACACCATATAACTTAAAATAAACCTTTCAGAGAAAACGTCATACGTATAGCGAGTCTGTGAAATCATTCTTTAAACATAATAAGTTTAATATCGAGAGACAATGATTGTGTAGATTTTAAAATCCAAATTATTGCTATGCAATAAAGTGTACTGTATATCCTTCATTTTATAAAATACAGTTGTCCCATACAAGTATGCAATATTGTTTATATTATATTTTACGTTCTTAAGTCAAAGAACGTGGTGTTGTTATTAGTTTCAGCACATTAAGTGTTGAAGATTGAGTACCGCTCAAGTCGGTGCTAGGGGGCTTGAAGGATGCTACACTTTTATAATATCTGTCATGAATAGACTAAATAAAACCGAGTCTGACATTTTTATATAATACTGTTATTTTTATTGCTTCCGAAGGATCTAACCTTTTCCAGAATTTTTGTTTGACTATTAATGAAAATATTAATGAAAATATAGTTTATTTAAATGTATAATATCCTAACTGTTTATTAAAAAGAACATTATTTTAAAAAATGGGGTTTATAAATAAAACCAAAAAGGAAATGTTGGGAAAAAAAAACCAAAAAATTAAAAATTTTTTTAAATTAAATTGGGCCTTCCTTTTATTTTTTTTTTTTTTAAACCAAGTATCTTAATAATTTCGACAAAAACTCGTAATCAATAGTTATTGAACGGCTGAGAAGTGTATAGAGGGTGAGTTTTCCCGAGGGGTTAATCCCATCGCTAATTATCCGTGAGCTTGCTGAGCAATAATCACTTTAAAGCAACTTGAAACCAAACAATTGCTTCTCTCTCGATAGCAACATATAAACATTTCTTAACATATTTGACAAAATAATACGCCTTTGTAAAAGATATTATGGAAAGACACAACTACTGTTAATACTTAATTTCAACCTGTGACAAGTATTTCAAAATACTGTCACTGGAATGAAAATAATTCAATTTCACTAAAATATAGTTTCTTGTAAGGTAAGAAGTAAATTAGAACACTGACGTCATACTGTTTAGACTGAGTGTTCATTAATGCACTAACATGACGTCTCTCATCAATATATTTAATCAAATATGGCAGTCACTAATCGTTCGTGTGGAAGAAGCACCGACGTAACGATGTCGATCTCCTGTTTTGTTTTTTATTAATTGGTTCTTTTAATTTAATATTTAAAATTGTTACGTACTAATTATTTTTGCGTGCAAATTAAATGTCACAAGGTACCGAATATTCTAATTATGAAATTGACCCAGATTCAAATCATGCAAACTAATTAAATTATGATTATATTTCATCTAGAATCTCTAATGAACATTCATGCTTAGTTCAATTTCTACTGAACTTGTGTCATTTTATCATGTACTGATGCCAATTATTATCAATTTAATGCGACGTGCGAAATGATGTCGCATTGTGTTCTAATTATGAAAACAATGTATAGTTACAGCGGTTGAGCTTCAAACTGTTAACCAAGCCTTGGAGTATGTGAACCAGATACGGGAAGAGACATGTGGAGCCGGAACTGGGGAAGTTCTTCCTTTACAATTTGACGTCACAGTCTGGAATCAATACACAGACCCAGCTGTTAGGTAATTCTATCAAAATTCAGTACTAAATAAATAAATAAATTGGGTGGATTAACGTTTAAACATATCTGACATATCACACCACGTTAAAAAGTAGATGTTTTCATGCTGTTTATTACCTGTGACGTTAATACGGGTGTAACGTCAATCTGCGTTAGAAAAAAAAATAGCATAGAGATGAATCTGTATAACAGTGACTAGTAAACGTTCTCTTCTACATCATTTGTGTTGCGAGCAGTTTTCAAATTAAAAGATTAACTACGAAAGTGTTGCACCATGAATAATCGATAATTATTAATCATAGTTTATTCAACTTTGCTGACTGGTTCATTATCAGATCAGATTAAAGATCTTGATAATTTTGATTAGTTTCCTTAACCTGAAACGGTTTACAGTTCAACAATCAATAATGGTTTATGCATGAAAGTCTCAATTTAAGTGTAAAAATGCTTTAGGGCAAAGAAGCAATGATATTTGAAGACATTTAAATATGTGTTACATTTAGGTTTTAGATGTAATAAAATACAACTTTGGAGTACGTTTTCACTCAATATTGCGTGGTTTTGACTTAGATGCGCAGTAATGCTATCTAATTTCACAGTATTGAACGATCAAATATGAAGCAACTGAGCGATAAATCGTGCATTATAATATGATGTTACTGAACAATGATTTCTATTCTAACATGCTCGCGGAAAATGAATAGTAGCATTCAGCGGAGAATTAATCTATTTGACACCTTTGTTTATTACAGTCGTATGTTACCTTTTTTAAACCGATAACATTGCAACAAATTATAGCCTTTAAGTCTTTGTTTGATGATGAAATTGTTCTAAACCATGTTAAGCGGACTGTATTACCTACACTTTACTCACTGATATGATTGTCAGAAATTTTCTAAACCTTACTTTATTTTAATCCATTCTTTATCTTTAAATGAACTGAATATTATTTTAGACAAATGCTTAGCTATTGAGGCCCAAAATGTCCTCATGTACACTGCTGGACACGTTCTAGTGGGTAAACGCCTTTTACAGTATGGCAATGTTCATTAGAGTATATTATTGCTTCTTTTAATAGTGATTTCAGTATTGCAACAAAAGATGGCAGATTAAAACCGATCAAACAACTATAAGCAATTTCATGGAACTATAACAAATTTTGATACCATTTCAAAATAACGGTAATGCCCATAGTTTATACAGTATTAGTTAAGCATCCTGATTGTCAAACGATTTTTTAAATAAATAATGTATCTGCCGAAGGCAGTGTAGATTTCATTACATTATGCAAGCGCGTAAGAGAAGTCATCAATAATTCTCGTTAGAAATGACTACTGATAAATCACATACTACAATTAACTTGCACCACATGTGGTCGAAGTTTTAAAATTATGCTTCAAGCGCGGACATAGGGGAATTCAATAACTGACGTTAGATATGATTATCTTGTTGCTTACATGCTGAAACACATATAATAAACCATAACAATTGACATTCAACACATCCGCTAAAAAAATTAAAATGCATGGGTTTCGTTACTTCATTACATTCTCCTTGTCTCCTCTCTCACACTAGAAATGTCATGGGGATTTTTCATTCACGGTCTCCGCTTAAGCTTCTTTTATTTCTTAAATATTGTCATCATAAAAGATTCTCTTATTTTACAGAACAGCAAATTTACTGTCCAAGGTTATTGCCATCAACAATGGGACGCTCGATTACATCGACGACGAACTGTTCTTTCTTCTCGTACGAAACAATGTACACGGGGATACAGTGATATATGGCTCGGGTATTGGACTAGAAAAGGGTGTTTACAGGTTAAAGACTTGTTTTGAATAACGTGAAACGAAAAACATAATTATGTAAAAGCAAACATAAAAACAGCAAACATAAAAATCTCAGGTCATTTCGTGCCTTTTTAACCATTTGCTAGATCAAATCAACCTTTATTACATTCAATTGTTTCTGTCATTTCCTAAAGTATCTGTGGTATCTATCGAAGCTTTCATATTCACCTCTATCAATTGTTATTGTTATGTACTTGTAGGCCATGAAATATGTCTTTGACTTCACTAATTTAGATTCTAATTGATGAGTAACCTAACACTTGACCCTTTTAGGATTTTTTTTATTTATTTGATAATCTGAAATAAAAAGGCATATATAATGCAACACAATGCCTTGTATGGACTGAGCGCTTGAGAAATTTATTTAAAGTAAGAAATTTTATTCTTATATTTATGAAGCGTCTGTTTCCATTTGACAGTAAGTACGACAGTTTTTGTCCCTATGCGTACAAGAAAAATGGAACTGTTAGAGCGCATGATATAGCCATTAACTATGACTACCAAGACACGTATACACCCTGGTGGACGGAGATCAAAGCGAAGAATTTTGATAACGTTCCTATAGTTAAAGATGTGGTTATGTATAGGTACTGTTAGAATTTTTTTAGTGAAATAATCTATGAAAATCTATAAAATTAAACGGATATTGTGTTAAGTAATAATGTTTTAGTGCAACATATAAAATATGAGATGAATAATACAAAGAGTGCATTTTATGTAGACTAGTGGAATGGATATAAACACTTGAGAAAAAGCAATTATCTGAAAGATAAAATAGTAAATTTTGACAAAATGAATTCAATTCTTAAAATGTAAAACATCTTTGATACGACATTATAATGCGTTTGCATTTTATAATCTTATAAATGTTTTTTTCTGCTAAACCTTTTTCTGCTCAAGATTACCCAAGAAGCTACCAACCATTACTGATATATAGAAACGCTTCACAAGTATAGAGAAACTACGTTTTTGTCACCTTACGCATCTAAGCGTACTTCTATGTGCTCTTTGATAACAATTCTAAATACGCTGTTTCAATTCGCTATGTTGAGTTAGATTTGCATCGAATGGTAAACAAGTCCTCACCAGAAATAAAGAAATGATCACGTAATATGTGTGAAATTTTCTGCCCTGAAAACTAAATATTAAGGTTTTGAATCATATTTTTTCCTGGACGTTTATATACAGTATATAATACTTATCAAGTAAAAGTGAGATGGACAACTTGAATTTAAGTTGTTTAAATAATCACATTGCAAGTTTCCTTTCTGATTTTTAACAGAGAAGGAGACGACCATCTTCGTCCAGAACGTGCAGTCTCTTATCCAGTGGCAAAAACAACAGATGGCTACTGGACTGTACCATATTTTGATTGTGGTGGTGGTAACGTCTGGATGGTGACATACGTAGCTCCTCTTCTAAAAGAACATAACGGTTCTGTTGTGTTTCAGTTAGTTTATTTTCATTCAGTTCATCATTGTTTAAAATAGTGAAATGAAAAACAATATTAAGCGTATTAAAATCTAGTACTCAAATGTATATACAAATGTTTCAAAAATTCATTTTTTTACTATATTAGAATGTCGATAAGGACCTGTACAACAGGTTATAAAAGAACGATTTTTATTCATTAAAACACAAATGTATTTAAATCAAACTTGTATGCAATTTATATTTGTTTTTTGTTGTATAGAGGGATAGCATCTATAGACATTGAATTGACGCACATTGACATTAACCAATGTGATGTTGAAGAAGGTGCCGTATCTTCTGGCCTTGATGTATTTCGATCAACACACAGATGTCAGCCTACAACCACTGTAAATTTTCATACACATATGTCAAAACCTCGTTTAAAATGACAAAAACAACAGTAACATTTAAATTAACATTTTTGATTTACTTTGTTAATATAGGAAATAACATTGATTTAATATTGTATATATTTGATTTAAGAAAACATAAGAAAATACAAAATAAAGAAAACGAAATCCCTTAAGAACGACAAAATTGAAAATGCTGCAGGCTCGGTTTTATTGAGCCTGTTCATGGACGATACTGGAAAGTTACCGTCCACGCCCCCTAGCACCGTCTCAAGCATAAATACGGGCTCTTAAAATTCATAGAGTTTATGATCTGGATAAGAAAAGCAGCAACAACACCATTATGTTAACACAATTAAGTGACTGTTAATTTGAATATCTTATCTCTATATTGATATTTCATTTTTTAAATTGCTTTTAATACATTACTTGTATTTACATAAAAATTGAGATAACCTTTGACAAATAAATTTAAAGTTTCTTTTTTCAAAGTAAATGTTATTTGTCTAATTGTGAATTAATTATACTAATGAGATTAAAGGAATTCTACTGAGGTCTGACAGGCAATTTGGTGTAAAGAAATGTAAACAAATATCTAGATACAAATCACTATATTATAGCTAAAATGACAATAATTTACAATATCACAATACAAAAACGCTAGAAAAATGCATATTTCATTTTGTATGAATAGTTTTGTTTCTGTTGTATAAATATTTATATAAAATGTTAACCCTTTTAAAAATTTGACCGCTTAAAGAAACCGTTTCATTGGTTAAGGTATGAATTAGCTTTCTTAGTAAGTTTGCGTAACTTCCAAAATATTTCAAACTTTCATTGTCTATATCTTCTTTTCTATTTTTAGTGTGTCGCTATAAATGGGCAAGGTTTTGTGACAGGTGCTTACAATTGCCATTGTAACGATGGATATTATTTTCCTCGGAAAACAAATGAAACTAAAGCGTACTCTGGAACAGAATTAGATGATTATGTCCGAAGGTTTGGAGAAGTCAAATCGGGAATGTTCCAGTGCGCTGCGTGCGCAACTGGATGTGACACGTGTGTTGACAGTTCTCCATGTGTGCAAGAATATGAAATTCATCTGAAAATCATTCTTTTAGCTTGTACATCGTTAACTGTAATCGGTATCGTGTCCGTTGCGATTGTAACTTACTTTTACAAAGATAACAAGGTAACTTTATTTGTTTGTTTGATTGGGTTTTACGTCACATCGACACAGGTCATATGGCGACGTTCCAGCTTTACTGGTGGAGGAAGACCTCAGGTGCCCTTCCGTACATTATTTCAGACACGAAATGGCACCTGAGTAGAACCACCGACGTTTCGTAAGCTAGCTGGATAGATTCCTCACATGAAAGTATTCAAAGTCCCTGTCGGGATTCGAACCCACAGCGGTGAGGGGCAAGTGGGTTGAAGTCAACGACCTTAACCTCTACAAGGTAACTGTTATATAACGAATGTTTTAGAAATTCATACCATCTTTTCATTCAAGAAATGTGTATGTAACGTTTTGCCATTTATGTACTTTTTTATGACATGTGAAACATCTGCTAAATATAAAATGTAGTATGTTAAGTTGATGCAGTAGCGCATTCAGTATAATAATATTGCACGTTGGAACAAGACTTATTCTACAAAGAAAATATATTAAAACTTAGTGTACATTAAACTTTTATTACATAGATATGTTTCGACACAAGAGGTCTTCCATTTTAAGCTCAACACGGTAACTGCTTTAGCGTTCAGATTTCTACTTGAAAGTTTGTTAAGGGATTAAATACAATATCATCATCAACAACAAATATCAAAAGGCTCCTATATTCTTAGAATTATTCTCCTCATCTTCATTTATTCTTTTCATCTTAAGTTTTTCATTTTAACTTTCTACCCAAGGGATATACATAAATTTATTATATTTATTATCACTCGCATAACATGTGCTTAACGATACATTTTCTTTGAACTTTACATGTCACAAGAAAATGTGATTTCATTTTAATCTTTTTTATTACTAATGAGAATAACAAAATTGATACAGTGTTTGCTCACTCTATTTTCTTTACTAATTTAACTGTCTAGGGGTTTTCTTCATTCTTCATTTAATTTAAATATTTCTTCCCTTTCATCATCGATATCACACATGAAATGGTAGTTTACTCTGGTGCAATGTTGTAACCCTTTTTGAACTTTAATGTAAAATGTTACATGAATTTTATCTGTTTAGCAACAACTTTTGACACATTTCTGTTTGTATCTTATTTCCCCTTTAATGAATTTGCACGTTATATGATTTATAAGATTTGGACATACAATTCTTGATGTGATCAATAATCATAACCACAACTTTTTTCTTAGGTATGCCCGTTTGCTTTAAAAATAGTCGAGCAAGTCTTTTCATTTGGCATCTTTTATTTAATTTCAGTAACCATACTTTCCCCAGTAATAAGTATACCAAAAAAAATCACACAATACATTATCAAAACTTTTTAAAAAAAAAGAAAATATGCATAATAAAATAATTCTTCAAAGTGTTTTGTAATAGGTTTTTAACATTTCTATGGGAGTATTTTATGTAATGTAATCTAAGAGCTGTCTATAATTAACTTTTATTTCAAAAATATAACTAGAAATGATCTAATGCATTTCGTATTTTTCTGTTAACTGTTGGCAACTTTGATTTTTGATGTTCTTTCCCTGTTTATTACTGTGCCATTAGAATATTAAAAATTGCATTTTTTTAAAGTTTCTTTTAACATTTGAAATCCAATTATTTCTTTTTATTTCTCTTTAATGCATATTTCTTAAAAGGAATTCATTGATTTCAGGTAATCAAATCTGCAAGTCCTATGTTTCTCGAACTAATGTGCGTTGGTGGTATTTTGGTTTGTTCACAGGTATATCTTTTCATTTACATTTATAAATATATTAAAAACAAAAACATACAAATTTAAAAGAGGGAACTACTTAAGCTTAGTAGTCAGTTTGTTAGCCTTTCAATCAGATTGGGCCCATATAAAAATTTCACCAAAAATATTTTCAGGTCGCCGGTACAGACCTGGGTGCGGTTCCAAAGTGGATTTATCGATATTTTTTTCAATTAATTGCTTAAATACACGGTGATATTTGCTTTTTAATTTCAGTTTTTTACAACTTATTTCACATCAACTGTTTTGGTATGCACAATACGCATCTGGCCGCAGCATATCGGTTTCTTTATTCTGTATGGATCTCTGGTTGTAAAGACATGGAGGTATTTATTCAGGCAATTTTTTTATACTATTTAGTTAAATATATTTTAGCCGCGTCACGACAAAACCAACATAGTGCTTTTGCGACCAGCATAAATCCAGACCAGTATGCGCATCCGCGCAGTCTGAATATCAGGATCCGTGCTACTCGCTTACAAACCCTTATAACTAAGTAGACGAACGAAACTCATGTTGGATGTTGTTCATGGCCGCGGCTACATTTTATTGCAAAATTTTGCCACAAACACAATTTGCAAACATTTAATACATATATAAATAAACGCAATTCAATGCGAAAAGTGATCAGGTAACCCGGAAAGCATCAAAATATTTTAAAGGGCCTTTTCCTAACATTAGGAATTTAATTATAAACAAGATCGGGCTCTTTGGTAAAATGTCCTGAAATATTGAATGTGAGTAACAATATGGAATATTACTATACTATTTAAAAATAGAGTTATTAATATTATCCCAATTCATCTTGAATGGATTATCGTGCTCTAATAACACTAGATAGACTCATGTTAAAATAACATATTTACTATAAATCTCAATTGAATTAAAATTAGGAACTTTGAGTCAGTTAGACTATTTGCGTATATCTATCCAATATATGTTCGAATTATCTTAGAATACCTTGATCCTATTACTAACAAAGTAAGGTCGATTTCTATTTATATATTCTCTTGGATAGCCAAATTACACTTCACACAATGTTTACTTATAAGTGTTATTAATTTATGATACTTTGAAAAATAAGCAGCATAAATCTGAAAATGTTCTGATGTAACTTTCCTTTATGTGTCGAATTGTATAAAGAGTTATACGTTTTTAGGGTTTTTTTCGTAATGTTTAAAATTATACAAAAAAATTTCCGGAAACTTCATCTATACTTTAATCAGCATTCATCCATACACACAAAATTTTGCAGTCAACATTGCAAACGAGTAGAAAAAAAGAAAGAAAAGAATCCATAAGCATGCATGTATAACATTATAACAAGAACAAAATTATACATTGCATAGGAAAAATATTCACGACTGGGAATCCATTAGTAAATGTGAGCAAACTCCGTCGGGGTTGTTATCTACCTGTCACCATAAAACCTTGTGGGAATCATTCATTATTTCATTAATGACCAGATTCAATACGGGAATATTTCCTGAAATGTTTTCTATATTAAATTAGCAAATTAATGCTTTAATGCGTTCATTGATGGGCAAAAATCATTTTGAATTAATGAAAGTTTATAAGCAATAAGCTGTTGATGAAAGCTTTGATAATTTGCCGTTTTTCTGTATTCATGTTAATTTAAGTGTCCTTATTTGAATCTAAGAATCAGTTATATAACGAATGCTTATAAAAAGCAAGCATTTAAGCCGTGCCATGACAAAACCAACATCATGGGTTTGCGACCAGCATGGATCCAGACCAGCCTGCGCACCCGCGCAGTCTGATCAGGATCCATGCTGTTCGCTTACCAACCCTATTACATGTAGAGAAACTGATAGCGAACAGCAGGCTGGTCTGGATCCATGCTGGCCACAAACGCACTATGTTTGTTTTGTCGTGACGCAGCTCATTTTATTTTTTTATATTTTAAAGAGTTTGAACAAAAATGCATCAAAACTTCAAAGGGAATCACAAATTTAAATGATCTGACTCTTTAAAATACACTTGTATAAATTGTTCATGTCTTCGGAATCATAAATTCAAATAGTTTTGGATTGAATGCCGCTAGCCGGTGCTAGGATGCAATATTGCATAATCCAAATAAACAGCTTCAATCAAACCGAGTTTGCTATTTAAAATACATTACATTTGCTTCTCTTTTTTTTTTTTTTTTTTTTTTTTGCTATCGATCTTCCTTTTTCCCCAGAACAGTTTTTTTTTTGCGGCTGTACAAATCGCCCCGTCCTTCATATTCGTGTCGTTACACTTCACTTGTTGACCGTTGATTTCAATATTGTATAACGGTACTTTGTATCATAGTTTGGAGACCTTTCTGTTGAAAATGTGCCAGAGTTAAATCGTATAAATATACATGCACCGTGCGTTAACTGGAGTGCAGGTATTAGTTACCCGCACTGCAGAGCATGCCCATTGATTGGTTCATTTTGTCTGGGGTTTACATATTGTGACGACGGAGAAACTGAAAGCGATAGAAATATCATATTCAGATGCTCGTTCCTTGGTTACTTTTTTCTGGGGTTTCATATTGTACATTGGGGTTTCACATTTTATTTTTGACTATAATACAAAAGAGAAAGAACATCAAAACACTCGGTAATCTGATTTATACTCGGCGTAGCCCACGCCCCCTCGTACAGATCAGATAGCCTCGTGTTTCGATGCTCTTTCTATTACTTGGATAAAATACTTAAGGGCTTAGGAGATTAAAAACTTTCTATAAATCCTGACGAACATTTAATAAAGCTGAGTAAGTTCTGTTCAATACAGATATGTGTATTTGCTCTTGTATTTTTTCTTGATTAGCAAGAAATATTAAATAATTTCGAACCGATTCCAGATGGGCATTAACCTTGCCTTACATCGTAACAACTTACATTTTAACTGCTAGGTTAAGTATATGATGTATTACAGAATTTCTGCAATATTTACTGTGGGTGCTGGGAAGAGAGTGTACCTTCCAGATAAGGCTCTTTATCAACGGCTAGGTCTTATGATGGGTTTTGTTGTTATAGTTCTTGCCGCATGGACTGTAGGTAAACCACCAGTAATTCAAAAAATTAAGACATCCGATGATCTTCTCTTTTATATTTGCAACTATGGACCAATGGAATACGCCGTTATTTCAGGTAAAAACTAATTATATATTTTATGTGGTCATTTAAACCTAATGCAGGATCTCCTTTCTAAAAGAAATGTGTTTTCTGTAAATTTAGTCGGTTCAATGCCCGATAGGGAACTTTATTTCAATTTTTGTACTTTCTTCTTTTTTGTTGGATTTCTTTTTGTATTTTTTTTAAGAATATGTAACAATTATCACATATAATTTGGCTATTTACGTATAAAAGATATAAGAACTAGAATACTCCACAATACAAAATGGTTGTAGAATAATGATAATATGTTTGATCAAATTAAACATATTTAGATTAACAAGTGTATTTTAGCAATTGATTTACAGGATTAAAAACTATTTTACATAAATGCACTCTCTATTTCATTTAGTGTATAAAACAAAACAGTGTTGATGGTAGGTTATGTGTATGCTAATTCTATATTATTTTGATGTAATGCTTAATTCCCATTTGAACATACTTGGTTTCAAAGTTGGTTTCTCTGAATGTTCTGCTGAATAGTTTGCGGTATTTGTTCCGTTTTATCAAGTTGACAAAAAAAATAAAATGATTTTAAACACCGAAATTTTATATGATTTGTTTGCTTTAAATTGCTGAAAACATTTGTCTCTCAACTTATCTTTTAGCTGAAATACTGCTCCTATTGTATGGCGTGTACCTTTGCTTCACAACAAGAAAAGTACCATCACAGTTCAATGACAAATTCATGACGTATGCGATATACAACGCAATAATTCTTGGAATTTTCATGACATTCATGTCGTAAGTTTATATCATTTTCATGTTCAAACATTTTAAACTTGTCAAAATCCCTGCATATTAATACTAAAATTCTACTTCAATTTTAAACAATTTCTATTGGAAAAATAGTAATAAATCAACATTGAACTGTTTTTTAAATAATAAATAAACTTAAATAAATTCCTTTACACTATTCATATCATATTTACGTTTAAAAACTTATTTTAACATCTGCATTTTACATAATTATACTTTTGATATTAGGCGTCTGGTAAATTGCATTTTTAGATTTAACAATTTTGCGCCGGTTGATCTGTTTCTAGATGAAAGTAGGAAGTTTCGATGTTGATTAACTTATTTGGCTATGGTAATCCGTCTGTGAAAGTCTAAGCCATGTGGTTGATGCTGCAGCACCTCTGTTATGATAATCACTTTTGTATATTTTCCTTTCAGTCGTCTGCTCATAACAGTTATCGGGCCTGATATGTCTCTAGTGTTTCAATTTCTCCAACTCCAAGTGTTTGCTTCAATTACTCTTCTTATCATTTTTGTTCCAAAGGTATGTTTAAGTCCGATATAAAAGGGTTATTACATGCTACGAATATACATACAAAAATATGTGTGATTAACAAATAAAAGAGTAAAAAATAAACATTGTTCTTGAAAAATAACCTAAATTATTTGAAAAAGAAATTTGTATTTTCAATGGAGAAAACACGCTTATTGTACTGCTATAAGAATAATTTCTTCAAGTAACTACTCTTTCTACAGGAAAAGCTATACAATTGTAAACTTATAATGTTATATTTTCGATCCTTGAAGATCGTTCAGCACGACATTTTTGATGTGTATACATGTTATGTGGTACTTTTAATTTCTTCTATTTGGCCATTTTCAACTTGGGTGGTTCCAGTATTCCTACTTGAATACTGTATAATCACCCTTAGGATATGTTGTCTGCTTTTTAAATCTGTCTTTTGACGTCTTATCTGTGATATGCAGGCTTCATAACCTCTGATCACCTTTCAAAATTCCATTTTATTTAGTTCCGCCCATTGTTTTCTCGTTTAGGGCAAAAGCATTCTTTTACTTGGGGACCATACGCCGCTTTTCATGGAATGGCACTACTGTGTGACATTGAAGGTTCCATGATAACCGCCGTATGAATACATCTGCGGATGGATGTTTCTAAATTCAAAATTTCACCATTTTTGTGTTAAATGTTGAATTCTGCTTAAGCCGGTGCTAGGGGGCGTGGACGGTAACTTGCACTTTCCAGTACCGTCCATGAACAAGCTCAATCAAACAGAGCCTGCAACATTTTCAATTTTGTTGTGTTGGACTTTCTTTAGGGATTCTGTTTTTCTCTATTTTACATTGCTTATTAGTTTAACACTGCAATTATAGGTTATGTTATTTTGAAATGCAACTGAATTTAAAGTTAAACGGTTTTATAGCAAATTTATTACGTAATTATAATGAAGAAGAAGAAGGAGGATTAGGTATAAATTTTCTTTTATTTATACAATCACGGATATACATTTAAGAATTTTACCTCTATTTAAAGTTGTTTCGCGCACTATGATTTTCGCACCGTGAAGCTATTTTGATACCTACATATATTTCTATTACAATAAGACAATAATATACAAAATATTAAATTATCTCTAGTTTATAGCTGTCAGAAAGGCAAAGGAAACTGGCGATCAGAATAACACATTCTCTAGTCTCAACGGCCAAGGATTCGGAAAAGGTCGATTTACAAAGCAGTTATCATCCGCGCTGGATTTGAATGTGAACTTTCTTAAATTCCTAGTGGAAGCCACAAATAAATCAACACAAACAGACGACACATTAGAAAGCGAGGGTGCCACTTACACAACAGTCGACGACACAAAGTAGTTCTTTGGTTTTGAGATTAAAAATAAATATATATAATTTGAAACATCGAATCATATATCATAAATTGTTGTAATGCAATAATGTCACTTTTCACAATGTTCCTGTGAACTAATTGCATAATTAAACTTAATGTTATTTTTGAACTGATGATACATAGACATTTAGTAAATTTGTATAAAAAGTTCATATAGACAGTATGTAATTATGGTGTTTTATTGTGCACGAATCATTTCAGGTTATCCTCACATTTACATTAGTTTGCCTAAAGCAACTCCACCGAGGTCCAAAAAGGTTATAACATAAAATTTGAATTTCTTATATAAATCAGCAAGGGGTTATAAAAACAGACATGCAAATGATAATCAAGAAATATACTCAGAAATAAATTGAAACTCGTATGTCTATGCTATTCTTAGCGATATTTAAGTGAAAACCGTTGCAACGCTTTTCATTTTTTGTAAAGTAAAATTAATTTTACAACACTTGAAACTATGTTGAATTGATGTAACATTTACACATTTACATGAATTGCGTATACCGGTAATTTGTAAAATATATATTATGATAACTTGAATTTACAATATACAGTTTAAAATTCCAGATATCACAAATGTTGTTGATTTTGTTTGCTTTAAGTACTTGATATTCATAAATGATTATTCTACTTTGACATATTTCATGAATTGAGCCACGTCATGACAAAACCAACATAACGCGGATGCGCAGGCTGGTCTGGATCCATGCTGGTCGCAAACGCACTATGTTGGTTTTGTCGTGATGCGACTCATTATTGTTTTATCAATCGATTTTTTGCCCATGAAAGCTGTGTATTTGATCCAAAACATTTTTTTTAAATACGACTGTCAAATATAAACAAAAAGCGGTTCAAGGGAAAATTTTTATACGTGATGATTTTAAACAAATTATTAAGGCTAGGTTTACAGGGTTTGACTGTCTTCAAATAAATAACAGATGACCGAATGACTGAAAGGAGATTTGTTTGAAACCTTTGATAATATTTCCTTTAAATATTTTTTTTCTTAAATAATCATTGTCGATTACCAATTACACACATTTTGTAATTTAGTAGAATTCACTGAGACAACTTTTTTTATTACATTTATATATCCCTGTACTGCCACTTTCCGATTAGCTAACAGATTTTTCTTCAATAACTGACCGTGAAATTATATATGTAAAATAAATCTTACAATTCTGCTAATATTATCATTTAAGCTAATAAATGCAACAACTTTTTAAAATTTTACCTGAGTTATTATTATGAATCGAGGACAAATCATTACTGACCCATTTTCCTGTTTTTCAAAATTTCACAACCACTTTTCAATCAGTTAACAAAATATATACTGTACCACATAAAAAAATGTCATACAATGTTAAAATATCACCAGCTATGTATTTTGAAGAAATTTTGACTAACTCAACTTCAGATAATGGTAATAAACAATTTTAACCTATTTATAATGCCATTTTTCAATTTTGATGTCTATTTGCAGTAGTAAAGCTGTCAAAATTGGGGTATGGATGTACATCTCAATTTGCATAACAGAAAAAGCATGTTCTTGTGAAAGTTTTAGGATCTAAGGGTCTATATGACCCCATTTTAGCGAAAGCATACTGAAAAGTTATCAGATAGAATGTTTTTCCTTGGTTAAGTGACTGTTACTTTACTGACGTATTACTATCCAATTAAGAATTGTATGGTAAAATATGTACATATTAAAATTATAGCTTTTGAAGTGTAGTATACATTATGAATTAATGATATTGAAACAGTTGTCAAACTTAATATCCATTTCTGCAGACTGACAAAAAACTGAGTCTGTAAATCAATTATTTTTAGAAAATTATTGCGATTTGTAACTGGGTAAATAAAGGATTAGTGGAAAACACACATTTTACATATTTTGAACTAAAATACTGGTATTTTCTTTTTTATCTCCATAACTGACATTGCTGCTGATAAATGTAGTCCAGGCAAATACAAGATGTGCTTACAGTTTGGTTACATGACAAATAAGGTCAAAATTTACAAAAATAAAGAATTTCTAGGGATGATTGAAAAGTGGTTGTGATTGAAAACTGGCAGTATGTGGATACAATAATAGTTTTTTAATCATTTAATGTTCAAGCAATAAACTTATTCTTAACATTGTGAAATTTTTAAATATTGTATTATTTTAAATAGTGAAAATTTAAAATACATTTAAATATGATTTTAATACACATAATAAATGAAAGGTAAATGTGTGCGTGCATGCGTGTGTGTGTGTTTTGTTAAATAAGGTTTTGTAACAACTTCTTTGCTAATTTACCCGTTTTAAATACTATTGTTAATACATTAGATTGTAAGAGTAAACAGTCTGTTAATGACGCCTTAAATAAATTTACAGATACAATGCGGAGTGTTGCAGATCCTCTTTTTTCATATACATGTAATTTGCAATTTAGAAATGTTCATAACTATGATGCAGAAAAATACATGAAGCACTCAGAATGGTTTGGTAAAGATTGCATTGATGCACGAAACGTATATTTAGAATCCTTAAAATCATTTAACTGTTGTAAAACGGATGAAAATAGAGTAATTTTGTGTAATCATAAATCTGCTTATAAATCTGTTATTACAAAGAAGAAAAGTATGTTCTATAGAAAGAAAATGCAAGAAATAGAAAATTTGAAAAAGAATAAGCCGAAAGATTTTTGGAAATATGTAAAAAAAAAACGGGAAAGGTTGATAATAAAATACATTTAGAAAAATTTAGAGAATATTTTTCTAATTTAAGCAATGACTTTTTTCAGTGTTACAATGCTGAAGCTGAGGAATTTTGTGAAAATGATGATTTTACAATTACTAATGAATTTTTTACTGATTACTTGTTCTGAAATTTTATCGGCTGTTAAAGCACTGAAGCGTAATAAAGCTTATGGTAATGATTGTTTATTGAACGAATATTTTATAGAACAGAACAGAACATTTATTTCACTCGTACATCGTGCACATAAATAACATATTTACACAACACAATTATAGTCACACAATCTATATTAAACAAAACAAATGTTATATTAACCAATGAGTTATTAAGAGGATGATAATGATTATATATCTTGACTCATTTGTTTATTTCTACGATTAAAAGCAATCTTACTAAATTTACAAAGTTTAACAAGAGTATCTTTTTCCTTGCAATTTAACAAATTCGAGAAGTTTTATACATGTTTTGTCTAATATT